TGACGTGTGTAATGAACTGGCGGTATAGAAATAAACTAAATAGAATTGAATCCTTTACTGGACTTTCATCTGCAGCTCAGAGACTGAAGCAAAATGGAGACTGGGGTGATGCATTCAGAAAATCAGGAAAAACAAAAACGCATCCTGTTTTATAAACACTTTGGTTTATTGATCCTTTTATAAACAATAAATAACCTTTAAATACAGTAAACATAAAATAAAAACAGTCCAACTGATCAGAACACATCTATACCAGTTCTGCAGGTACCGATGTGACAGAAGGTTCAGGATTCAGAACATTCAGATTGTAGAAAGTGTTCTTAAAGAAGATAGATCAGAGGTAAATACTCATGACTGTAACTTTGTACCTGAAGGTTTATTTCCTGTAACATTTTTGGTCTCTTCTGATTGGTCAGTTTTGAATAAATAACTTCCTGTAGATAGAACCTGTCCAATCAGAGCGAAGCAGCTTCACATTGACAGTTTCCCTCTTATGATTGGCTCAGAGACATCCTAAGCTCCTCCTCCCTCAGGCTGCGGTCCAATCGCTGCGTTTCAGACTCCAGAACGGCTGGGATTGGATGGCTGGAGACGGCAGCCAGCGAATCGTTGAGGTCGTGCCGCAGAGAGAGCAGCCATTGGCTGTTTCTGGACGACTGCTCAATAAACTCCGCCCTCTGCATCTGGTCCACAGCCAATGAGAGACGCAGCTGACTCAACTTAAAGGAGGAGATATGATGACATCATCAGCACCCACCTGAAACATCGGATACTGAAACTCTTCTTCTATGGTGATCTCACCTGGTCCTCCAGCTCTGTCACCTGGTGTCTCAGCCGCTCGACCTCGGTGGAGTTCTCAGACGCCTGACCAACCAAACACACCTGTTTGAATTAGACCCACTGTTCATGGCTGGTTATCCCGCAGCAGTGTGTCGCAGTTAGCTCGTTGCAGAAACGACGCAGGTATTTTTGATTCATGCCCAATTTTGAAGCGCAGTCTGTGCTATTTTATTTCACACCAGAGCACTAGAGGGAGAATCATGTGTTTGTTTGACAAGCTTGTTCGCCGTCTACATCAAACGCCGGACGACACACAGTTCACCCGTGAACATGCCTCAAAGACTGACCGTCGCACGGTGCTACAAACTAGCGTGTCTGGGTTAGTGTCCGAGGTGTGCCAGGTGTTGTGGACGGCACTACAGCCAGAGTTTCTGCCATTAGGTACCAAACAGTAAACATGCATAGTGTAGAGTGGTAGAATTGACCAATCAATGGCCTCCTGTCAGCAGAAGGGGCGGGGCATATCTGCATTAACTGCGACACACATGCAGACAACCTGGTTTCTGAGTATAAACCAGGATTTAGCCATTAGCTGAGACGTCTCCACCAGTGTGAGTCTCACCTGGGACCCAGAGCCGAGGGAGAGCTGCTGCCTGAGCCTCCATCGATCCTCCTCCACCTGACAGTGAGGAATCAATGAATGAAAAAACAACTGACTTTCCAACATGATCGTGGTGTTTGGAACGTCTCAGGACTGTTCTCACAGGGTTGAGTCAAGACGACCCGAAACCTTCCCAAACCTACTGTACCTCCCCCAGGAACCCCCAACCCTCAGGCCAACAGCGATCTAGTGATCAACAAAAGCCCAGCCTTTCAGAG